ACATGGATAGAAGTGCCTAGCTCTTGTTTTATCCCTGTGCCCATGTTTCAAAATACAACGGTAACCAAAAACCTAGACATTAAATAAAATTTAACCAATAGAAAAAAATGTCCTACGCTTCTAAGCAAATGACTATCAGCATTTTGGTGGGATTCTTTTAAGTGTTTTTCCTTAAACACTGATGCCATAGTTTTGTTATCATGTATATGTAAATGTATACATGTGTACTTACACACGTATATTGATATATGTATAAAGCGGGCCACATAAATATAGATGCTTAGCATAACACAGATTTTCTCAGTCTTTCTAATTGGCATTTTGTAGAGGTTGTGTAATATTTCATTGTGATATTCAATAATTTACTTATACCAATGGAAATTAGTTTTGTTTTTATTCATAAGTCAGCATTGCCTGTTTCTGAGGTCCTCTGTTGGGGCCTCTTGAAGCTTGATTTGAACCTTGTACCTGAAACTGTTCTAAGGATGTTATTCAGTGAGTCCATGAGAGGCATTTGTCAGTTGTTAATTTAAGGCTTGATATTGATAACCATGAGGTTGACTGTCATATGAATTCATTTCTTTTTTTTTTCTTTTTCTTTTGAGACAGGGTCTTACTGTGTAGTCCTGAGTTTCCCCAATAGCACTTTTGAAATGCTTGTCAGTCAGGTTTCTTTTCCTTCCCCACCCGTTCTCAAGCGTTGCTTCAGGATTCCCTTTCTGACCATTCCCGGGGGAATGACCTCAGAGGTCACGCTTCATTTTGGCTGTCTTGTTCTGCCCTACCCCAATGTTCTCCACATCCTGAACTCCTCCCTTCTGTACATCTGCTTTGCCAAGAATTTGGATTTCAGCTCAGTTCTTTACTCTGACTCTCCCCAACCCTATCTACATCCTCCCTGGTGGAGCTGGATGTATAGATCTGCTTCCTCCCTAGTGGTACTGGACGTATAGATCTGCATCCTCCCTGGGTACTGGACGTATAGATCTGCATCCTCCCTGGGTACTGGACATATAGATCTGCATTCTCCCTGGGTACTGGACGTATAGATCTGCATCCTCCCTGGGTACTGGACGTATAGATCTGCATCCTCCCTGGGTACTGGACGTATAGATCTGCATCCTCCCTGGGTACTGGACGTATAGATCTGCATCCTCCCTGCTGGTGCTGGACGTGTAGATCACAGCTTGTGTCTGATTTCTGGAATTTAGTTTACCACTAGGATAACAAAGGAAGGTCACTAAATTTCTACTTTCTATTATAAACAACACTGGGACAAAGTGCTCTCTCTCCCTCTCTCTCTCGCTCTCTCCTTCTCTCTATTTCTTGCTCTTGTTCTCTCCCTACCTACCTCTATTTAGAATTATTTTCTTAGGCTAGATTCAAGAATTGGAATTATTGAGTTAAAGAGTATGATTATTTTCCAAGCTAATATTTATTAACCATTTCTGAGACATTTCCTCATTTAGTTCTCAACAGGCCGTGTACATACTTGCATAATAAATAAGGGAATGGAGGCAGGGGTGTGTGCACAGCAATACAATACATTGCAACTGCCAGCACTGGCCAGTGTAATTTAAGAGGTACCAATAGCTTTGCTAACATGCTTACCAGCGATTTGAAGGGGGTGACAGGGGGGTAATATAGTAACAGGAAAGGCTGATTAAAATAATTTTCTTTTAAAACGTTTTTAAAGCATTAGCTGTGCAATGCTTCTCACACTTACCAGCACAGTTCCAGGTCTCAAGCCAAGCAGGAGGCCCATTGTTGAATGTTTATTAAACGCCTCTGCACTGCAGCGTGCAGAAAAGGTGTGGATTCTGAAGGAAGATGCGGGCTCTGGGAGAGGAGGAGGACGTGCCCTTGTGAGTTTCACTCCTGTGTTAACAGAGCAGGCACAGACACTGCCAGGCAGAAGGTCGGTGCTCAGGAAACACTCAGAGAGTGAGCACTGTTTTCTCAAGTGAGAGTCAGTCTTAGCTGGGAATGACAGAAATCTCCCAAAGAGCAACCGCTTAAACAGAATGGAAGCTTCTTTCTTACCTTAAAAGAAATCTAGAGAAGGCATTCTGGGCTGTGGAAGGAAGGATTCCTAGCACGACCAATGCCTCATTCTTTCTTGTCTGGTTCCTTCCTTTTCCTTGGCCTTGGACTTTCATCTCAAGACCCATCTCACTGCCTGAGCGCCAAGCTATCACATCAATAGTTCCATGAAAATGTAAAAGAAACAGACATGCCGCCTTGCTTTTCTTCTTAAAAAATACATCTATTTATTTATTTATTTAGGCGTGGGCACACACACACACACACACACACACACACACACACACACCACATGTGTGACCGTCAGAGGACAACTGGGGGAGTCAGTTCTCTCCTTCCTGTATGTGAATCCCAGGAACGGAACTTAGGTCCCCGGGCTTGGTGACATGCTCCCTTACCCACTGAGCCACTTCACCAGCCCCACGTTCCTTCTCCTTTACTGATGTCACACTGCCCAGACCTTAGTCATGTTGGTGCCTTTCTCAGCACAAAGGATAGGAGAAGCGGGTTTTACTGTGTCACCATGCGTCCCGGGGAATGGCGGGAGTTCCTTTACTCTGGAAGAAGGACTGATGGACTAATCCATTAGTCTATCTCTTGATAGTTTTCTTAGGAGGTAGAACTACACAAACGTTAAAATTAAAATAAAGATAAAAACTAGATACAGACTTGTTTTGTTTTTGTTTTTTTTTTTTTTTTTTTTTTTTTGAGAAGGGTTTCTCTGTGTGACAGTCCTGCCTGTCCTAGAATTAGCTGTTGTAGTCCAGGCTGGTTTCGAACTCACAGAGATCCATCTGCCTCTGCCTCCTGAGATTAAAGGTGTGTGCTGCCACTGCCCAGCGACATTTTTTTTCTTTTTTTTAAAAGCAAGGTGATGATAAACCACTTAGTATTGTATTTCCATTTTCTGGATAAAGGATTAGGTGGAATGTTCCAGACCACAAATGTGAATAGACTATAGAATGTCAAGTTGAAATAGAATAAGACGCAAGATCTAAGCACCAAATGATGGAGGAGGGTCATCTTTCTATCTGTTGTTTCATTGGTTAAGTAATAAAGAAACTGCTTGGCCTCTGATAGGACAGAAAATTAGGTAGGCAGAGTAGACAGAACAGAATGCTGGGAGAAAGGAGCTGAGTCAGACAGTCTCCATGATTCTCCTGCTCCAAAAAGATGCAGGTTAAGATCTTCCCTGGTAAGCCACCTCGTGGGCTACAGACTATTAGAAATGGGTTAGATCAATATGTAAGAGCTAGCCAATAAGAGGCTGGAACTAATGGGCCAAGCAGTGTTTAAAAGAATACAGTTTCCATGTAATTATTTCAGGCATAAGCTAGCCGGGTGGTGGGACGCAGCCTGCTGCTCCTATTACTACAACCAAAACCAGCCGACTATGTAACACCCTTTGCTTGTTTGTTCGTTTGTTTGTTTGTTTGGTGTGGGTGTGCCACGGAGCTCATCTAGAGGTCAGAGAACAAACCAGAGGAGTTGATTTTCTTTTTCTAGTGTGGTCCTATGGATTGAACTCAGGTGGGAACATGTATATTTATCTACTGAGTCATCTGTAGATGACTAATATACTAATGCTGGATATTGTTGAAGTCGGACAGGTAACATGCGACTCTCATCAAGTGTTGGTTAACTGGGAGATCACAGTGTATCATATGTGAATGGGTAGAGAGAGTTGATCGAGGCTGGTGAGGAAAATGTGAGGCTTGTCCAGAAACGGCAGATGGCTTATATTAGGTGGAGGTAAACCATTTAAGTGTATACCATGATATTATAAATAAAATTCTATAAGCTTTTGATCATCGAGAAAGGTCATGGTAATACTTTCAAAATTGATCTGCTTTCTCTAAAGGGTGCCTTTTCTTCCTTTGAACAAATCTCTGAAGCCACGCTGCTTGGACGTCCCAGTTCAACCCCTCTGCGGTTCTCTGTGTTTAATTAGTGGTTCTCTGGGGCCCGATGTTTTTCATAAGACCCTTCTGTTCTTTTGCAGGGCACAGAGCACTCAAGGAACTCCTGTGGCCGCTGGAGGTTTCCCCCAGAGCTGGGGAACTGTAGAGTCCTGTTCACCAAGGAGAAAGGGGGGAAGAATTGGCCCATATATTTAGAAAATGACTTTTTCCTCTTTTAACTTGCTTCTTTGAAAATCACACATACAGCATATATTCAAAGGACTGGAAAATAAAGGTGAGCAAAAACTTCTTACGTTAGTCTTTTCAAGCTGCTCATGCCTTTTGGGAAATATAGGGGAATGATATTTGATTAAGAAAGGAAGGAAGGAAGAAAGAGAGAGAGGAAGAGAGAGAGAAATCACTATGTGATTAGCATTTTATGGTCCGCATTTTAAATGTAATCTTGTGAACTTTGCTTGGATCAAGAAATATAACTGATAGTCATTTGAAAAGAGTGCTGTTGGGAAAATGGAAAGGCTCAGTTTTCTTGGTGGTAAGAAATCTAATGTTGCAGATTCTTGCTACTTCACTGAGCTCAAAGCGAGCAGAAGGCTTGAAGAGGGGTCACGGGGAAGAGTTAGCTGTGCAGCCCACCCCCTCCCGGGGTGCTGGGGGGCTGAATCTAATACCTGGACAACTGGTCCCCCCCCCACCCCCTGCCAGGCTGTCTGGAGACTTAGCTGTCATCGATGTTATAGGAGATTGCTGTCACCGAGAGCCCGAGGCTCCCCGGGAAGCCCAGGTGAGGGCCTCTTTGGAGGCAGATGGCTCTGGAGACGTCCCTTCAGGCCAGCTGGTGCTCTGGAAACAGCCCCATCAGCTGGACGCTTGCCTTTCCTCCCTCCGATCTGTGCAGGAGCTCAGCTCTGTCAAATTGGGTGTGGTTTTAAACTTCCTTAGCTGCTACCTCATCCTGGTCACCTCACCCTTTCACTCCCTGGCATTTGCTCACATTCTGCTACCAATATCTGATGTGTATGGAAAGCCATTACTTCATGAGCTGGGTATGTGCTGCAGGTACCTAAGCCCCCCCCCCCCCAGGAGCCTTCAGAAACGGAGAGATTAGGTAACAGCGAGGGCAGGGTAATCAAGGGCATTTTTTCACAGTGACATAATGACTTTTCTCCGTTGTTTCCCATTGTTTGAAGGGGATCATTATCTCGCCGTGAAACTACATCTGGCTTCTAGGCTGAAATGAGTTTCTAAAATCCTGGCCCTCCACCTCTGAACGGTAAGAGCCCACCCGCCTCCTTCTAATGGGCTTTCTGCCATTAGGGCTCAGGATGGATGCTGGGTGGTTGCAGGCTGTCCTGATGGTATGCATTAAGGGCGCATGCCTTACAAGGTGAGAAACACATCAATATAGATTCTGCTCCACAAGAGCAGACTTGTTCTTTCTTGGGGATAAATGGCCCCGGGGATCACTAGCTTTTAAGTGTTGTAAATTTTTATGACATTATGAAAGAAACAGAGCAACAGGGAACCACTTCGTATTACGTTTCTGTTTTTTTTTTTTTTTTTTTTCTGGATACTGGATTAGGTGGGATGTCCCAGCAAATGGGAGCGGACTGCAGAGAGGTGGGTTGAAATACTGTAAGGTATAAGATACGAGCAACACACTAGCCCAGAATGTCGTCAGTTCCCCCCACCCCCATATGACCAAACATCACATAAAAGGTAAGTGTTCTAGAAAAGTGTTGGCGGATGATTTAATTAAATAAAAATGAAGTCAGGTTCTTGGGGGATGCTGAAATGGGAATTCGGTTAAAATAAGGATAGTCGGGATAGTGGAGATGTTCGCTAGTCACTGTGAGAATTCCTACCCCCAGAAGAGGTAAGTACACCCTGCACTTCTTATAAAGCTCCAGTGACAAGCCAAAGTGCAGTTCCACCAAAGCCCAGCTTGGGAAACTGATGAGCTGAGTCGGCTTACTTACAGAGCTTGGGTGACCCCCAAACGGGCACACCACAGGAAAGTCACACCCTAGCATGGACTATACCTCTTCATACCTGAATAGATGGGGTCCGCCTTCCGTGAACTGTCCTGTTACATAGTCTAGCAGCTCTGAGACGATGAGCAATAGGGCACAGTAAGGGCAGAACGATGTACAAATGGCCAGGAGGTGTGGAGGGAGCAGCCAGAGTCTCACTTGAAGGTCCAGCGACCTCCTCACTCCCTCCTAAAATGGAGTCTCAATAGGACATAGTTGGACCATAGATGCTCCCCACCCCGCTTGCATTCCCCCAGCAAATCAAGTCTGTAGGGCTTCTTCTTAAACTCTTGGGATTGTTCTCAGGCTTTGACTTAAGGACCCCTCAGTTCTGTTCATCAGCTCGTGGTTGGTGGTGAAGAGCCGGATTTGTGGGTCTGGATGGGTGTGTGGCTCGCTCCGTAGAAGCTGATTGAATAAGGTGCTGTCTGTGCCTTCCAGGCATTCGGTGGCCACTTGACACCACTCAACAGATGTGAGGCTAAGAGGCCTCCTCGTTTGGTTTTCAATCATGCGATTGTTCAGATACAAAGTAATTAGTGTACATCCCCTGATGGTAAAAGAAAGAGAAAATGCATCTCTCCTAATTGCATGAAGCACAACATTTACCTCGTTTGCTGCGTGGGATTTGAGTGCTGAGAGCAGTTCAGCTCAGAGTGAGGGTGGAGAGGAGGAGACCTCACAATAGATTCCCTAAAGCCAGCAAGAGACTAGGTTTCATATAGCTCAGGCTAACCTCGAACTTGCAAAGAATCTGAAACCGGCCTTGAACTCCTGATGTTCCTGCCTTCACCAAGTGCTGGGATTACATTCATGGCACAGCTTCCTTTAAGCTATTTCTAAATGTAGTCTGTCTCTTTTTCTTTTTCCCTGAGCCAGGGTTTCTCTGTGTAATTTGGCAGTCCTGCAACTCTTTTTGTAGACCAGGCTGGCCTCGAACTCACAGAGATCCACCTGCCTTTGCCTTCTGAGTGCTGGGATTAAAGGTGTGTGCCACCGCTGCCTTGGCAATGTGATCTGCCTTAAATGTGTTAAACAAAAAAAAAGCTTTTGGTGCAAGGAAAAAGTCACTTAACTCCCCCGTCCCCAACACACACACCTAGCTTTCAATCAGAAAAACATGGCTTCAAATGTTTCCTTGGAAAATATACCATACCTCCCACCGAAAATGCAAACAAAGAGCAGAAGTATCATGATGGGTGTTTGGTGCCCAGAGAGCCACGAGAGGAAAACTTAGCGGGCTTTGTTGCCAGCCCTCCTAGGTGCGTGGATCTCTCACTCGGCACTCCCTTTCCTGTTGGTGGTGTCCCTGAGCAGCTGAAGTATTTTGAATGGCAAATGGGACTCTTTTATGATAAAATGAAGCTGTTGCAAAAATAAGTCCTCTGAATAAAAATAAACAGTGCCTGCATTGAATAATTGCATGTAAAATTTGCGCTCAATGTCCATTCTGACACTACTAGGCTGCTTGCTTCCAGATGGATGTCAATTTGTGTTAGCCTGTAACTGCCTTCTCTTCCTGTGACCGACTTTCCGATTTCATTCTTTCCTGATAAAAGTCTCACATCAGGCATTAGAAGATTCTTAACTGCACCTATTTAGTTTTATTTTTCTACTTTTGGTTTGGCTAGAAAGACTCTGGGCTCTGAGGTTTATTAGCCTTCCAAAACACTTATCCCTCAGCTGAGGAATATCTTTGGAGAGGGTGTGCCGCCACCTGATGCCAGTGAATGGGTGAAGCCGACCCTGGGAAGACAGCCGTAGTCAAGGAGTCTGGGGGGAATTGTGTGGGGAGTGGGAGAGGCAGCAGTGACCTCTCTCTGAGGGCTAGCAAACAATGAGACGCCAGAAAAAATATCCAAGGGAGTGAGACCAAAACCCCTTTTGGATGAGCAACTAGGAATGAGACCCACCTGGCCTCTGCGCCGGCCTCTTCCAGGTGCGTTAATTGTTCACGTTCCTCTCTAGGTTTGTGGATGGCTGGGACTGGCTGGGACTGGTTGGTTGTTGAAGACCTGGTGTGGCAGGAACAATATCCACCCTCCACACCTTCAGTTCAAGTCTCCTTAAAGTCTTTGTAGAAATATTGATGTACTCATTAGACAATTTCAAACATGAGTTTAGACTCTCCTCAGTGTTTATGATCATTGGGATTATTATTAGGTTATTTCTGGGCAATCTTCTCTCCCTTAGCTAGGAAACCATTAGGTTTTAACATTTTATTTATTTATTTATTTATTTATTTATTTATTTATTTATTTATTTAAGATTTCTGCCTCCTCCCCGCCACTGCCTCCCATTTCCTTCCCCCTCCCCCGATCAAGTCCCCCTCCCTCATCAGCCCAAAGAACAATATCCACCCTCCACACCTTCAGTTCAAGTCTCCTTAAAGTCTTTGTAGAAATATTGATGTACTCATTAGACAATTTCAAACATGAGTTTAGACTCTCCTCAGTGTTTATGATCATTGGGATTATTATTAGGTTATTTCTGGGCAATCTTCTCTCCCTTAGCTAGGAAACCATTAGGTTTTAACATTTTATTTATTTATTTATTTATTTATTTATTTATTTATTTATTTATTTAAGATTTCTGCCTCCTCCCC